ATATGTCTCTCTAAAGTATAGGTATAAACTAGAGCTGTTTGTGCTCTCATTGCGTCTGCATGTCTGTAACACAAGATCTCTAGCATGTATAACATTATCAAGGATGGGATAATTAATAGATCCTCACGATTCTGTCGACCAGACAGTTGTTCTGGTATCAATTCACTGATGTTAAGACTTTTTATTGTAAAGTCTGATATCCCCTGCTACAGCCTGTCTCATCTTTGTAGACCAGGACTGTCCCCCTACTGCCTCAGTATACATCTCTGTATCTACATTTGACAAATACATCACTACATATGGCTGTGCTAACTTGGCCTTAATAATCTCTATAATAGATAAAGCTTCCATGTATCTAATTGTTTTGTAATAATACATGGCTATGTACATTATGTCTGTAATACAACCAAACTTGGCTGCTAATTTCAGCATGTTAAAGGAGATTTTGTCAGCTCTATACATCAGTTTGTTTTTATATGTGTAGGTTTCCACGTGTGATATAAAGGCTGTGTTTTGAAGGACATCAGCTGTAATTTTCTGTACAATTAGAACTTGATACTGTGTCAGGATGAATGAACCTATCATCTGTTCTATTGTTTGTAAATATCTCATACAGCGTTGTATGTTTATATTGACTATTACATTAAGGATATATAACTCATAATATAGGTTTACATCAATTTCAGCCTCAGAAATCAGAGTATGTTCACCTTTACAGATGGAGAGTCTGGGGCTATGAAGGACATTTATGATATAAGACCTAATGGAGGGACTGTGTAACAGGAGTGTTTATCCCTTCTCATACAACCCATACAGTCTAATAAATAACTGATGTTTTGCTTCGACATGGATTTTGCTAAGAAACATGTTGTTTTCTGGAATGAAAAAGTTAGGACAGACCCCCTCATACACCCATTTGAGGATGAGTTTAAAACAGACCCAGAACCCCCCCCCCCCCAGGAGATTTTGTGGATTCCAGTGTTGTAATGTATTCTGTTGAATCACCCAGAAAACTGCTGTCTTAAAGCTTCATGTGATAGGAACACAGTAATTTATCATCACTTACTTCACTGTTAATTATATCTGTTGAGAACAATTTGAGTAAGCCGTACGTTAAGAATTGACAGTGGTTCATTGCATACATAAGTTTTTGTTCAGCCAGAGATAAAGAAATTCTCCATTCATGGTCTTCATGTCTGCCTAGTTTATGTCCATTTGCTACAAAGTGACATCCATTTTTCACTATATCATTAACAACATGAGGCTGGGGCCATGAGTGACATCTATCTATCCATGAGGAGGCAGATGGAGCCAAAAGTCACAAACAAAACAGTGGGCATTATCAAATCCTAATGATTGACCAATTGTTAAACTGGAACAGGGTCCATGTGGAGTAGTTCCATATGGTGATACAAAACAAACTATTTATCTGTATTTAGAACTAGATATATATAGTGCCTGTTATTCATTCTAACACAAGCTCTCTGGACTATTATGTATACACTTGGTGACAGTAAATACAACAAAGTGAATCCTGGTGGACTATCAGAACAGTCACTGCAGATCAGTGTTTGTCTGTGTGTGTTATAATACTGAGGCTGAGATAATTCCCAGATCACACGGTGATCGATTAGCCACGTCATATAGTCTACGTCTGATCCTTCCAGTCTGAGTCCTTCTCTTTGACTTCCACTCAGCATCCCATTGGTCACATCATTTGTTTTCACTTGATTGTCCACCACATCCCTGGTGTCCATCACATCTCTCCTCATGGCCACCAGTTGTGAGGTCCCCACTTTACGACACAGTCCCACAAACACTGACTCTGGTATGTGTTGTATGGCTGTTTTCCTGCATGTCTACATAATTATGTTGAATCTTGCATCTAAAATGTCAGATACAGGCGTCAGTAAGTAAATTTGCCCATATTTGATTTATATTTTCTTAAAAGATTGGTAACTTGCATGTCAACATAATTAACTTGCATGTTGATATAAATATGTTGCATGTCTACAAAATTATGTTGCATTTTAACATAATTTACAGAAATATGCAACCATAATATAGATAGAGTAATATTATCATTCAGACAGACCTTCAACTGCAATTGTTGTTGATAACAATTTTACAATGTTTTCAATGTCACAATTGCTGAAAGCAATGTTTTTTTTTTAATCTCTCAACTTTGAAGTCACGTGCTATGACACCTTGCTATACAAAGACTGTTCCAAACGGAAAATAAATGAAAATGTAATAAACAGAAAACTCAATTATTTTTTATATTTTGTAGTTGAATATGGAATTTATTTCATTTTTAAGACAGATTTTAAAATATGTTATCTCATGCTTTCTACTATTCACAAAATAAAAAAATCCTATCCCACTTAAGTCTAGTGAAATAAATTCCCATCCAACGACAAAACATTGAATATCCTCTATGTACACACATTCATACAGATAATGTAGACAAAGAGTGTAGAATTGTAAAACACATTGTTTGACTATCTTCACTTCTGTTAAATGATCTTATTTTTGATAGGTTTCCAGCTTTCTAGTCTATTTTTAGTTCAGCAATTTAAAGTAGAGGTAATGATGTTGTTTATATTTAGATCAGCAGTTTGAACTGGAGGTAATGATCTTGTCTATGTTTAGTTCATCAGTTTAAATTACAGGTTATGATCTTGTCTATTTTTAGCTCAGCAGTTTAAAGTACAGGTTTTGATCTTGTCTTTTTTAGTTCAGCAGTTTGAAACGAAGGTCATGACCTTGACTTTTTTTAGTTCAGCAGTTTGAAGAGGGGGTAATGATCCTGTTTATTTTTAGTTCACCATTTAAAGTACAGGTTATGATCTTGTCTATTTTTAGTTCAGCAGATTGAAGTACAAGTTATGATCTTGCCTATTTTTAGTTCAGCAGTTTAAAGTAGAGGTTATGATCATGTCTATTTTTAGTTCAACAGTTTAAAGTACAAGTTATGATCTTGTCTTTTTTTAGTTCAGCAGTTTAAAGTAGAGGTTATGATTTTGTTTATTTTTATTTCAGCAGTTTGAAGTGGAGGTTATGATCTTGTCTATTTTTAGTTCAGCAGTTTGAAGTGGAGGTTACGACTGGGAATCACTGGGCGGCAGAGACAGATTTACCAATGCTAGGTTAGTAAAAATGTACAACACATATACTAACATTAAAACCCTCATGCAAAGTATTTTCAGTAAATGTGAAATGGAGATAACAGGCATTGGAACATGTAACTTTTTATTGTTGTAGAAAAGAGAGATCCATCCAAGAAACCACCACGGAAAGATTTAAAGAAGAAATCAAGTACGTTACGGAAAAGTAAATATTTTACAGATTCCACTAAAAGAGAAGTAAATTATATAAATAATGGTATGTAATATATTAAATGATTCCACCTACTGGTAAGTTAAGCTAGCTAAATTATTCTATACCATTTTGCGGTACTAGTTAAATGAAGACAGCTATGTAATGATATACTATGGCCATATGTAAAGTAACCATCCAAATAAAGAAAGATACTTTTAAAAATGTTAAATGATAGCATATTTCATCAATAATAGATACATGTACATGTAAAAACTTGGTTTGTATAAAAGAAGTTGTATTATAAGATTATAGCCTTTTGATCCAGTACAATCCCTCGATATATAGACCTTAGAGAAAGCTTTCTCTAAGGTCTATATATCGAGGGATTGTACCGAATCAAAAGGCTACAATTGTTTTATTATTTTTTATTAGTTAATAAGAAATGTCTTAAAATCCTTCTTTATAATACTCAGTACCTTCTCATACAAGGCATTGTTATGTCATTGCATTATTTATGACGTCACAGTAATGAAAACCAGCTGCAGTATCTGTTTTTAGAAACATCCAGTCTATAAAGACTATTGTGACGTCAGCACTATTGTTGCTTCACAGAGGAACGTTTCCAATTTTAGAAACAGCAGGTTTATAAGTTTTTAAAATAGAAACATCCAGTCTGTAACACTTTTTATGCTTGATCATGTGATCCAGTTTGAGCCAATCAGATAGTTGGAACAATAAAGAAAAATAATAATATGTTTTATAGCGAACAGTATTCAATCTCAAAGTCCATAAAACAATACAAAATAGGAGCAGAGTAAACACGGACCTCCGAAACATCAGAGGTTGGACCAGGTGCCATGGAGGAGTGAGCATCCCCCGCCGACCGGTCACACCCGCCGTGTGCCCCTTGTCATGATCAGGGAATAACGGAAAAATCCGTCGTCAGTTCAGTGTATAAATAATGGACAAACAATTAGTATGAAAAACGTCAGTCAGCATTTGACTCAGTGATAAATTGTATTTGCTGACAAGGTAATTGTATCGACCATATGGCTTACGAAATGATTACTTTAAACGAGACTGGTGATATTCTTGTTTCATCAACTTGCTTGTCGATAATTTACCTCGTTTTAGAAATTGTTCATACGTAGAGCATTCTCTTGCATATCGAATCAGCTGAGATATATATACTCCGTATATAGTTGATGGTATATTGCTGCATAAATAAGTCACGTATGTCTAGCTTTCTCAGTCGGTGGAATGGACACAGCGTCTGTAGACACCGAGAAAGATTCATGGCAAAAGTATCATTCTTTTTATTGATTTATTTTTTAAATCAATTGATTCTTTTAGATATGAAACATTTCTTAACAGTTTTTTGTTTGCCTTTTTATTTGTATTAAAAAATTAAAACAAGCTCTCCAATCTATAACATTTTCTGTTGCCTTTTACTTCAGTCAACAGTCAAAAAATTAAGCTAACAGTTTAAAATACTTAACTTAGTAAATTGTTTTGCATCTATTGGGATCACTATGTCACATGTTGTTATAATAACGGACATGTTAGGTGTATTCAACGACGTGCATGATGTTATATTTTATCAAATCCTGATATTTAAGAAGCATTATATGTAGTTTTATACAACATCGCATATCCACATGTTCGAAATATATCCTGGAAGCTCGGCATTTATAGGGGTTACAGATACTAAACATATACGTGCGGGAAAAGACTCCGTAATTACATGTATTTACTTTTGAAACACGTGGTCGTCTTTTGGTTGTTTTTAACAGGTGAGCTAAATTTCATTTTTGGAACACTATTCCCCCCCCCTTTTCATATATCCCTGTTCCCAGTAATTAAAGAAAACAAAAGTTAATTTTAATGCTGAAACTTTTTGTTGTTGAAATTGTAAATATGCCTATTTTTTTATTATTGCAACTTTTTGTCGTTTCAATAGTAATTATGTCCATTTTTTTTATAAATACAAAATCTTGATCTAGCAATCATTATTACGTATACTGTAGAAGTACTTTTTTCCGCGTGGTATTATTTTACGCTATGTACGCGGTCACAAATTTTCCGCGGAAATTTGTCCAAGCGTACTAAATACTAATGTAAGGCATATAGTGACAGTTTAAAAAATCCGCGTAATTTTCTACTCGCGGATTAAACAGAAATTGTAATTCCGCGGAATTATGACCTCGCGGAAAAAAGTACGTCTACAGTACCTATATGAATATAAATTAATGTTATTAATTGCTATATTCTGGGGGAACATGGTTGTGTTCTTTATCCCTGATTAAAATATTTGCCAGCAGGTAGGACTGAAATTAAAAAGAGAAATAGAATACTGTGATTATCAATCGGTTCTTTACAGCCTACGGCTGTGATCATGATGGTCAATGTGACGACAGGGTTTACTGTCCAAGTGGTCAGGTTGAAGCTTGCTCATACAGACAGTGTACATGTAAAGTAGGGACAAGTGAGTATTCAGCAGATTTATAAATCAGTCAAAGAAAAATACCATTTACAGTGAAATGAGTTTGTTTTCTTAAAACTTTATTATATAAGATGAACACAATTTTTCACAAAAAATCTTACGACTTAGACTAAAATTTCACCGCTTTGTATTTTTTTAGTTTAATTAATAAAGATATTTTTCTAAATAATTATATACAATATATCACAAAATATATCATGCAATACCAAAGTAGTTGTTGCAACTTAGATATACATGTTGTAGATGGGGAAAATTTTAATCTTATTCATTAGATTTTTTTGTAAAATGAAGCACAGTGGTTAAACGTTTTAATGTTTTAAGTCTTCTGCCCACGAATATTTAAAAGTAAAACCTCATGAACCTTATGGTGGAGAATCAGTATTGTTCCTTTGAAAAAAACAATAAACGTTCAAAATAATGGAATAATTATCAATGCTTATTAACCTGTTTTTATGCGCCCTTATCGATAGATTCAGTGCGTATATTGTTTTTGTCCTGTCTGTCTGTCTGTCTGTTTGTCTGTTTAGCTGTTTGTCTGTCTGCTGTCAACTTTAACCTTCGTCATAACTATTGAACCGTGAGAGATAGAGACCTCATGTTTGGTCTGCATACTTTACTAATTAAGCACTTTCAACTGACACCAAAGTCAATGACCTTGTGACCTTGACTGTGACCTCTATGCTAAAAATAGCTTTTTCAAACTTTCATATTTGGTATGCAAACTTCACTAATTAAGTGCTTTCAAAAGGCACCAAGGACAATGATCGTGTGGCCTTGACTGTGACCTATATTCTAAAAATTGCTTTAACGTACTTTGTTGCCGCTGGGCGCATAGTGTTTCACAAACACATCTTGTTTTTAGGATGCTTGTTTGATCGTAACTGCAAAGACGACTGCTACCGAAACCAAACCCCTGACTGTCGCTGGTTTAGATGTTATTGTCATAATACTAAATAAACAAGACAAACGTTTTGTATTATAATGATTAATCGATGGAATGTATGCAACTAACATACTTATTTCCATAATATAGAAACAGATCACTGTGAGAGGTATTAAGAGTCTAAATTTTATAATTTAAAAAAAAATGATTCGTGCCTTAAAAGACATATAATTACATTTCAAAATATGTTTCCTTAAGATTCTTTCAAATTAGAAAAAGGTTCATCTTCTATCATGGGATGAGTAATGAAATATATGGAGAAAACGAATGGTATCCGAGCCCCAAACTCCATTAAACAATACAAAATAGGAACGGAGCAAACACGGACCCCCAAAACATCAAAGATGGGATCAGGTGCCATGGAGGAAAGGACATCCCTGCAATCCAGTTAGACCCGCTGTGTGCTCCTTGTCGTGATAGGGAATATAACGGGTAAATTTTTGGACTGAATACAACACAATTTATACACTGGATTGACGACGGATTTTTTTCCGTTTTCCAGACCATGTTAAGGATCACACGGCGGGTGTAACCTGTGGGCAGGGGATGTTCACTCCTCCATGGCACCTGGTCCCTTATCTAATGTTTAGGAGGTTCGTGTTTGCTCTGCTCCTATTTTGTATAGTTTTATGGGATTTTTGATCTTGAATACCGTTCGGAATTTCTATATGTTTCATATGAATTGCAAGGACAGATCCTTGGTTTTTTGGGTTTTTTTCTTCATTTGACTAAGGATTACTCGATTAGTACTTATCTTATAAATACACGGGGATGAAGGTTTGACAGGTTCAAAGGAGTTGTCCAATCCTTCTAGGTACCTATCATCCACTCCCTCTCTCTTGATTTCACAAATTATTTGTTTTTTTTTTTAAAGATCGATCACTATTATAAAAAGAACTTTTTGATGTGTTCAAATTTACAGCAGTAGTCTATTTATATATATATATATATATATATATATATATATATATATATATATATATATATATATATATATATATATATATATATATATATATATATATATATATATATATATATATATATATATAAGCACTAAAAATGACCAACGACACGAACAATAAAAATTGTCAAATTTTCGGGACGCCCTGTCCCTTCCTCAGGACAAAAAAAAAGTTAAAAAGTCATAAGAACAAAGGAAAAAGAGAAACAAAAACAACTAGCACTACTACTAAACTACTAAACACTAGATATTTACATACTTAATTACATGATGAATTGGAAATTTTTAAGAACACTAATAAAGAAAGAAATCCGGACCGCTATGAAATGCGTCCGGTCTATCGGGTATACTCGGGTGAAGTGCGATTTACATAATTGAACGAATTAATTATGCTAATTAATTACGACAATCAGTAAATCGTACATTGTTTCATTCTCTCAAAATGGCGGAAAAATAATATAGCAGGGATATTTAAACATACGAATTATGATCAATTATAAATTGTAAATAAATTATAAATAATTCAATTAAAAATGAGATTGGTATCAACGTCTATGAGACCTTAAATCCTATTGACTGTAGACCAGGACAATTCTATCTGCTTCCTAAAATACACAAAGAAGGCATGCCAGGTCGCCCCATAGTCAGCGCAATTGGACACCCCACGGAGAAAATTTCTGAATTCATTGATTTACATCTCCGTCCACACGTAGAGAATTTGCCATCCTATCTCAAGGACACCACGGACTACATTAACAAGACGCCCTCTACTGGCCTCCCAAATCATACCCTCCTCGTGACTATGGACGTCACATCTTTGTACACCAATATTCCACACGATGAGGGTATCGAAGCCTGTAGAGAAGTCTGGGATAGTAGATCCATACAAATTCCTTCTACAGAGTCCCTTGCTAAGCTCCTTGAACATGTTCTCAAGTTCAACAACTTCATGTTTAATGGAGAACATTACCTGCAGGTTAATGGCACTGCTATGGGTACGAAAATGGCACCGTCTTATGCCAATGTCTTCATGGGCAGACTGGAACGCAACTTGTTACTTCAAGCACCATTTAGGCCCCATAGCTGGTTGCGTTTCATTGACGATATAGAGATGAAGTGGGTGGAATGTCGCGAGAGCCTCGAGGCATTCATTACGTTTGCCAACACCTTTCATCAATCGATCAAATTTACAGTAGACGTATCTAATTCGAAAAACGTATTCCTAGATACTACATCTACCCTGATTGATGGTGAAATCGAATTCAGTCTCCACACCAAACCCACAGACTCCCACCTATATCTTATGCCCTCTAGCTGTCATCCACCACACACTTTTAAGGGAGTGCCTAAAGGTCTAGCCACCAGAATTCGACGCATCTGTTCGTCCCCTGCCTTATATCAGGAGCAAAGTGGTCTTCTTAAGTCCCACTTATGCAAAAGAGGCTACAATGCCCGCACCGTACAAACAGCTATTGATAAGATGGCGGGACATGACAGGCAAAACCTATTACGCTACAAGGAGAAAGACAATAGCGGCAGGGTCCCTCTGGTAACCACATACCATCCCGTCCTTAAGAACCTTAGCGGTATCCTTCAAAAGAACCTACCAATTCTCCATTCAAACAAACGAATGGCAGGGGTCTTTAAGGAACCCCCATTGGCTGCATACAGACGCCCAAGGAACCTAAAGGACATGGTAGTAAGAACCAGACTGGACAACCCATTACCTAACGGGGGCTTTAAGACTTGCTCTGACAGAAGATGTCTTCTTTGTAAGCACAGCACTGACACAGACAGTTTTAACAGCCCTGTTACAGGCCGCAGCTACAAAATACTAGGGAATTTGTCCTGTCATACTGACAACTGCATTTATCTAATCAGTTGCAAAGTTTGCTCCAAACAGTATATTGGTGAAACAGGAGATCTCCGCAGGAGAGTCAATAACCACCGTTCGACCATTAGGACCAAAAAACTCAATGAACCCGTTGGGGAACATTTCAACCTTGAGGGTCACAAATGGGAGGACATGACAGTAGTGGTGATTGACCATAGCCCAAGATGGACAGATGCTCAGAGAAAAAGCAAAGAAAAATTCTGGATGCACAGATTGAAGTCATTCCGCCCTAATGGTATTAACAAACTGAATGACTTCACCAGAATGAACGTAAACTAGACCCAATTCCTGATGATACTAAACAAGATTATTCTCTCAATTTAGTGTAAACTCTTCAGTTAATTTGCGTCACCAACTCTCGAACAACTTTCATAACTATGTATTGCTTACACCTTTGTTAATTATTTTTTCCCGGTAATAAGTCCTTAAATATTTCAAAATTTATAATTGATCATAATTCATATGTTTAAATATCCCTGCTATATTATTTTTCTCTGATTATTCTTTATTAAGTAAATTTACGCCATTTTGAGAGAATGAAACAATGTACGATTTACTGATTGTCGTAATTAATTAGCATAATTAATTCGTTCAATTATGTAAATCGCACTTCACCCGAGTATACCCGATAGACCGGACGCATTTCATAGCGGTCCGGATTTCTTTATTAGTGTTCTTAAAAATTTCCAATTCATCATGTAATTAAGTATGTAAATATCTAGTGTTTAGTAGTTTAGTAGTAGTGCTAGTTGTTTTTGTTTCTCTTTTTCCTTTGTTCTTATGACTTTTTAACTTTTTTTTTTGTCCTGAGGAAGGGACAGGGCGTCCCGAAAATTTGACAATTTTTATTGTTCGTGTCGTTGGTCATTTTTAGTGCTTTATATAAATTTCCATCCGTGACCTTGTATCTACTTGGTAGATCCGACATTTAGGATATACAGTGTTGTTGGTTTTTTAGTGCTTTATATATATATATATATATATATATATATATATATATATATATATATATATATATATATATATATATATATATATATATATAAAAAATAACAGAACGCCGATTAAAACTCATTTACATTATATTGGCCAAACCGGGGACACCCTAAGACACCGCATGACCGTCCATCGTCAACAAATTCGTCAAACTGAATACCAGTGTACTGCCGTGAGCGGACATATTAGAACATGTGCTGAAAACATTTTTCCTAATTTTACAGTGTTTCCTATATACAAGTTCTATAACAAGACTTCCGAAAAGGAACGTGAAACCAAGGAAAAACATTTTATTTCATTGTTTAAACCAAAGCTAAACGCCCTGTCATAATAGACAATTTACAATTTTCCCGCATTATTTGTCTAACTGTTAACGTAATAACGTAACATAATGACGTCACAATGAACTGTACTAAAGCGCAACACTTTTGACGTTACATGACGTCACAATATACTTTGAAATGTTTGTATCTATAGCAATATGTCAAACTCCTGATGATACAATTGAAACCGGTATGAGTTTTAATCGGCGTTCTGTTATTTTTTACTATTTAAATACTTGTGTGGATTTTTTTATCAAACCTTTGGAATATATATATATATATATATATATATATATATATATATATATATATATATATATATATATATATATATATATATATATATATATATATATATATATATATGTTTTGGGTTTTTTTTTTTGCTTATGTAGATTAAAATTTGTGAAGAGTTTTATCACAAGGAGTATAAGGTGGATTAAGTTTTTTCAAAGGAAAATTTGAAATAAAAAAATAATATTCTTCAAAATAACAGCAGGGCCATTTTGTTTATTCAGGTTAGTGTTGTAGATAGTTTTTTTTAAACTTGATATGGGATGCCATTGATTATTCTCATCAAAACATGTAGAACAATATATTCGAGTTAGGAAAAAGTAGGACTGAACATTGTGATATCGAAAATGCTATGATGCATTTTTACTATAAAAAGAAGTTAATTGTAATGAACAGCAGAACGTTTTGATAGCCATTATAATTTCAAGTTTTCTGCCGTCAGCACCCAAAAAAAAATACTACCAAAACAACTATAGTTAACTATAGTAAATCAATGTTCCAAACTTATTACGATAGTAAATCAAACTTCCAAAGTTTAATCATAGTAAATTTAAGTTCCAAAGCTATTACTACAGTAAATCAAAGTTCCAAAGCCATTACTACAGTAAATCAAAGTTCCAAAGCCATTACTACAGAAAATCAAAGTTCCGAAGCCATTACTACCTTAAATCAAAGTTCCGAAGCCATTACTACCTTAAATCAAAGTTGCGAAGCCATTACTACAGTAAATCAAAGTTCCAAAGCCATTACTACAGTAAATCAAAGTTCCAAAGCCATTACTACAGTAAATCAAAGTTCCAAAGCCATTACTACAGTAAATCAAAGTTCCAAAGCCATTACTACAGTAAATCAAAGTTCCAAACTTATTATGATAACGATAGTAAATCAAAGTTCCAAAGTTTTTACCTTGGTATTTTTATAGTAGGGCATCCCTTATTTTGATAGAAATATACTACGATCATCGGTATCTTAAGTGTATGTCTCCTACTTAATGTGAATCGCAAGAGCAGTCCTCTACGTACAAAGAATTTATAAACCGAAGAAAGGTTTTAACAAAACAACACAAGTTACTCCCATTCATATGTCGACTCGAATGAGAGAGATCATACATAGAGCATGCTCTTCTGTATTGAATCAACTGAGACATATAAACTCCGTATGAAGGTGATGAAGGTATATTGCTGCATAAGTAAGGGAAGATGAAGATTGTAAAGTTAAAGTCACGTTTATCATAAGAAGGATATGGAGATAACGAACAGTATTCTATATCAAAGTCCTTAAAACAATACAAAATTGGAGTAGATCCAACAAAGACCTCCGAAACATCAGAGGTGGGATCAGGTGCCATGGAGGAGTGAGCATCACCCGCTGACCGGTCACACCTGCCGTGTGCTCCTTGTCAATATCGGGGAAATAAAAAAATAAATAATCCATCGTCAATTCAGTGTATAAATAATGGACTAACAATAAGTATGAACAACGTCAGTCAGCCTTTGTCACAATGATAAATTGTATTTGCTGACAAGGTCATTGTAGCGACCATAAAATTTACAAAATGATGACTTTAAACGAGACTGTTGATAGATATTCTTGTTTCATCAACTTGCTTGTTAATAATTTACCTCGTTTTAGACATTGTTCATACGTAGAGCATGCTCTTGCGTATCGAGTAAACTTAGAGATATGGATTCTTTATGCAGGTGATGAAGGTATGTTGCTGCATTTAACTTAGTTGTTAGGCTACCATTTATGTCTTTTTCAGTAAAATATCCAAATATGAAACAGATGTGTGAGACTCTGTGGCATGTGAGTTAAAATCCAAATGATAGTCTAAGTACAAGACAAAAGTTTATAGCAATTTTTAATTTTAAGCATATACATATAAAGCCTTGCATTCTTACAGCATATTAGATAAAAACTTTCACTACAGAAATCATCATGTCACATGTGTTTTATGAAAACGGACATGTATAATGCATTCATTGATTTACGTAATGATATATTTTATAAAATCCGGTTATTCAAGGAGGATTTTTACCATCATATACATCCACACATGTTCCAAATAAATCCGGGAAGCTCGGCATATATACCCAGTAGATTGGTACAGAAAACAACGCAACAAGGACAGGATGCATTTACTTCTGAAACGAGTGGTCATCTTTTGGCTGTTTGTAGCAGGTGAGTTAAATTTCGTTTTTGATCACCAAAGCCTTTTTAAAAACATAAAGCAATGTCTCTCAATCACTGATAAATAGATGGTACGAGTATTTTAGTACCAATATTTCATCGTTTTTCATTCATCCCTTATGTAGATATTTATTTCATTTTCTATGGTCAAATGCTGTAATTTATTTATTGAAGAAAAGTGATATCCTGTCACAACGAGAAAGGATATCAAAATAATATGCTGTCAAAGTTAGTGAATATATGAAGTCCGGCAAAACTCTTTGTTTTTATTCCGTTCGATTCACCAAAAGTGTTGTAAATGTACTTCACGAATTGCAAGAGGATAGAGAGAGTCAATAAACCACTTGACAGAGACTTTAATCGATAAGTTTCTCAAATATGTTGTTGAAATCCATGATTAAATGTTTTCAATCTTGCATTCGCATAAGCCATGACGTCGACTCTCAAATGCTCTTAAAGAATGTTTGATGTCACTGCTTTGTGGCAACGCACTTTGAAAAAAATTCGCATTTTGAAATTTGAAAAGTGCGTTAAATTTGGGACACACTCAACGCACTTTGAAAAAACATTTTCAAAGTGCGTTAAGAGTGTACATAAACATTATTTACCTTGGGACAATTAAGGCACTTTGAAAAGAATATGTATAAAACAAAAAAACTCTTTACTTAGATTTTAGTAAATGAGAGAATCAACTTTTATTAATTATATCTTTCGAAAAATATTTTAATTTACATATATTCATTTAACATCACCGTTCACGGTAGCTCAGTCGGTAGAGCGCTCGCTCCGTGATCGGGAGGTCGTGAGTTCGTATCTCGGCCGCGACTGACCTAGTCGTTAAAATGGGTAGCAACTGTTCCTTCGCTATGCGCTCGGCACTTTGAAGTGAAAGTTGCGGGTCCTTCGGATGAGACGTTAAAAACCGAGGTCCCGTGTCAGCGGCAGGCGTTGGCACGATAAAGATCCCTCAATGCTCAATGGCCGTGAGTTCCGAGTAAAGGTCAAAATTTGAAGCCCTTCACCGTCATACGGTGACGTCTCCATATGAGTGAAAAATTCTCGAGAGGGACGTTAAACAATATAATCAATCAATCAATCATTTAACATCATTGGGAATAAAGAGAAGACGAGTAGAAGGTCTCTCAGCCCAACTATTTTTTTTTATATACATTGTACATAGTCTCCAGTAGCAAATTGAATGTGGACACCCCCCTCAAAAGCAAGCCCCGATTTTCAATGCCTATATATCTTTGCAAAAGATTTGAGTTCTTAAGACCCCCCCCCCCCTCCCGGTACCGATGTTTATGCTACACCCAAATATATGTATTTGTATAACTGGCATGACGTTGAAAACATTCAATAAATTTTAGTTTACATATAAAATGCATTCAAACTGCAAAACTTAGGTAAAACTTTTAAGAGAGATAGAATTTTCAAAGTATGGAAAAATCAAAATCGCTCACTTTCACATCCTGATGTGCCCTAACAAAAAAATATTATAGTTTACTATAGTTAACTATAGTATCAAAGTTAAAACTTTGGAACTTTGATTTACTATAGTGAAAACTTTGGAACTTTGATTAACTATAGTGAAAACTTTGGAACTTTGATTAACTATAGTGAAAACTTTGGAACTTTGATTTACTATGGTGAAAACTTTGGAACTTTAATTTACTATAGTAAAAACTTTGGAACTTTGATTTACTATAGTGAAAACTTTGGAACTTTGATTTACTATAGTGAAAACTTTGGAACTTTGATTTACTATAGTAAAAACTTTGGAACTTTAATTTACTATGGTAAAAAATTTGGAACTTTGATTTACTATAGTAATAACTTTGGAACTATGATTTACTATAGTAATAACTTTGGAACTTTGATTAAGTACTATAAAACCTTTGGAATTATGTTTCTGCTTCCCATTCAGTTCATTTTAAAAACTTTCAAGAATAAGGTTCATTTAAGTTTCAGGGAACGTTTTAAAAAAACGACCTGTCCCCTAAAAGAACGAAACACAATAAATGAATTTTAATGTACAAATTGTCTCTAGCACCGATAAATAAGCAATATTTATTATTATTTGTGGGGAAAAATATTATAAGGGAAAAAATCCGTCATTTAGAATAAAAATACTTGCTTCTTTAACTTCAGATAACTTTTTTTTACCTGTTAAATGTAAATATTGAATTTAAATAAATACTTTGCATATTTAAATTAAGATGAACAACAAAACCAGCCTAAACAAACCAATATCATTCCCCTTTAAACAGACTAATAATAATAAAAAACTTAATCAAACTAAATACAAAAACTTAAATACTTTGATTTACTAAAGTAACAACTATGAAACTTTGATTTACTATAGCGAAAACTTTGGAACTTTGATTTACCATAGTAAACTATAGTAAACTATAGTTTACTATAGTATTTTTTGTTAGGGATGGCCTCATCACCAAAGAGTTATCAAACAGGTTGAATTATTTATTATACCCAAAATTTGCAAGAATATTGACCAAGTCATACATATTTTGTCAAAGTGCGTTAATATGGTTCGATATTAACGCACTTTGAAAAGAAATTTTATTTTTTCATAGTGCGTTGATTTGGTCCCAAATTCAAAAAAATTTTCAAATTGCGTAAATTTTCAAAGTGCGTTGTAATACTGCCTGCTGAGAAAATCCAAGAAAGTTGTGTTTTTGATGTTGCAATTTTTTGCTGTTCTATAAATCGCAGTTTCTCGGACCTTTCCGACCAGCGGAAAAACAACTTCGAGTGTACTACACAGATGCCATGAACAACCCCAATCACAAACTTTGAAATAAATGTTGGAAGACCTCTTATCAGTGGAGTATGGAATCAACTTTATTCAATGTAAAGATATTACCTAAAATATACTACAGAAGGGACTTTTAATCTCGTCTGTCCTATATTTAAGTAAAGACGGAGATGTAAAACATTTAAAATTCGCCCGTTGACGTTAATACATTCGAGGTTGTTTTGACGACCACTGACGGAAAGACCCAAGATGATGCGATTGTTCGTTGTATATGTAAATATCACACATTTTTTTTTATCATCATTAAAAAATCTTACAATATTTTTACAATTACCCTTGTAAGTATTATCTGGCTTGCCTACATAAATGAATATCTATGTTATAAATTGTTGCTTTTTGAGATCAGGTTGTATAATTAGTTAATCACTTATCCGTATTAATGCGTGATATGAAAAATTAAAGTAATTTTATTTCAATCGATCACGTATTTTACTTTACAGTCTTCTCTTGTAAATATAATTTTGAATGCAGTGGAAAGGTTGGTTGTCCATATGGTCAACTGGAAGCTTGCTCATATAGACAGTGTACATGTAAAGAAGGGTCGGGTGAGTAAAAGCAGGATTAAAAATCAACCAAACACAAAAAAAATTATTATAAGCATGTAAACGTTTTTTTAAAACTAATATTAACATTCACGATGGGGTTGATTTCGCGAAAAAATAATAAATCGCGAACATAGCAAAATTAAAACCATCGTGAGTATTTACCAATCTACAGTTCGTCTTACAATGAAACTTGTTTATTTACTTTTACAATAAACAATGGTAAATTCCTTTCCTACGTCGATACTGATCCTGATGAGCTTGAGATAAAAGATTTCAAAGAGTCTAACACATCTGTTTCATACTTGGATATTTAACTTGAAAAGGACGTTAATGGTAATCTAACAACCAAGCTCTATGATAAACGTGATGACTGTAACTTTTCAATCGTCAACTTCTCTTACTTATGCAGTAATTTACCTTCATCATTTGTGTACGGAATGTATATATCTCAAGTTGATTCGATACGCAAGAGCACGCTCTACGTATGAACAATTTCTAAAACGGGGTAAATTATTGACAAACAAGTTGATGAAACAAGAATATCAGCAGTCTCGTTTAAGGTACTCATTTCGTTAGTTTTATGGTCGATACAATGACCTTGTCACCAAATACAATCTATTTTTGTTAGTCCATTATTTATAAACTGAATTGACGACGGATTTTTTTCCGTTATTTCCTCATCATGACAAGGAGCACACGGCGGGTGTGACCGGTCGGCAGGGGATGCTCATTCCTCCATGGCACCTGATCCCACCTCTGATTTTTCGGGGGTCCGTGTTTGCTCTGCTCTTATTTTGTATCTTTTTATGGACTTTGAGACTGAATACTGTTCGTTATCTCCATATCCTTCATCATTGAGTCAAATGCTGGCTGATGGTTTTCATGCTAATTGTTAGTCCATTATTTATACCCTGAATGGATATTTTCGGTTGGGTGAACTTCTACTGCACTATCGATAATGGACAAAGAGTATGGAAACCATAAATAGCAATTATGAAATGAAAAAATAATACAAACTTGTTGGTTTTATATGACGTTTATTTTGAACATTTAGTTTACAGCACCTTACTATTTTAAGTATTTCTGAATTGGATTAGTAACTAGGCTTTTCCTTCATCCGTGTTCTGCAATATTTTAATTCAGATCATTGTGCATTGAGTAATATTATAAACTCTGATTGAATCGCAAACATATATACTATGCTTTTCAATTTATTAACTGAATTTTTCACACAACATAAATTTTTAATCAATGTCCTCGATTGGTTAATCATTTACAAAATAGCAACTACAGGACCTTAAGTATGGGTCTCATTATCCACATAAAAACTTTGCATAGTTTATTTGTTAATTTTTCAATGATACATTGTAATTGTAATTGAAATATACATAAAAGGAATATTCAAAATTCAACGTATTTTATTCATGTACTTCTTTTCTACAAACTTATCCAGCAATTATTTCTACAACACTTGGAAGAATAGATCTGGGGTGAGGCCAAACACTGTTCAAAGTTTTGTATACTTTTAACTTTGCGATAGATCTTTCTACAATTGATCGATGCCTAGAAACTATGGTATCACAGTCATTCTACAAAAACATGACCAATTAAGATTTTTTATGTCGCTTTACTCGCTTACAAACATACCGTTCTACCATCTTGACTATAAATTTTATGATCGATTTCAACCGTAAGTCTCACCATACACACATGGTTTTGTAAATAATTACCGATATATTTGCAGTTTCAATAAGAAAATGGATATATATGTAATGTTGAAAAACGAATTCAACTGCAAATTTTCATGTCGCTACATTTATTTACAATAACAAGATGGAATTCTCAGCCGTAAAAGAGTCCCAAATTAAACAGATTGCGATAAATGTTAAAAAAAAAGTTTTTCATCCTATATAAAATGAAATCAAACCACTTCTCGCAAAGAAATGCATGGATCTTCTTTCATGCGAAATCATTGCATATCTATAAAAATCGATTAACTTCCGCAACCATTTTCCTCTCAAATTACACGAATAGAATGCAGATTTCAAAAAGAACTAAAACTTATCTGAAAGTGACCACGGAACCTCACATCTTTGATTCTAATAGCGAGTCAGCTATTTTAGACGATTATATTTTTGAAAAAACAAAATGAATTACAGAAAATCTGTTGGCTCTCTTAAAAATTTAAGTGAACTTCCGTAACGGTATTTCAGGAAAATTTTTTGCATTAAAGGTATACAATTTTTTATTATTTTAGGAGCGAAATGCGTCATACTTTTGTTTAATATCCTAAAGCAAGCTTTGATTTTAACTATCGCCAAAATCTTAACTTTTATTGCTGGGGAATTAACTTCCTTAACGTTACCTTCCGTAACTATATTTTTACCAAAATTTTAATTTAATTTCAGATTCATGCAAAACTTTATAAATCGTATTTTACCTTTCCATACTGAACATCAGACACAAAATTGGTTAAATTCAGCGTTATTTAAAAAATAAGACTTGATCAAGCATTAACCTTCGTTACCTTACCTTTAAATTAATGTAGTATTAAAATTGTTGTAAAAATTTAACGATGCCTGATTTGTGGACACTACTTTTTTTTCAAGTTCACTGATATGTCCTTAGGGGAATTATTATTATGTTCATTTTGTTTTTGACACAATTATTCTTTTCATGTTTTATATCTTGAATTGGTCCATTTATCTGTAGAGTGACTGATTAAAGGCCTCTTCTTGACTTTGTAAGGGAAAATCATGCGGCACTTTTATAACAAAAAAGGCACCAAAGCTGATGCAGGCGCTAGGTGTAAGGTCGAGGGAGGACTGATTAAAAAATTATTATACTGTGTGACAAATTCAGTTAATAAATTGAAAAGCATAATATATACGTTTGCTATTCAATTAGAGTTTATAATACTACTCAAGGCACAATGATCTGAATTAAAATATTGTAGAACACTGATGAAGGAAAAACCCAGTTATTAATCCTATTCAGAAATACTTAAAAAAGTAAGGTGCTGTAAACTAATTGTTCAAAATAAACGTCATTTAAAACTAACGAGTTTGTATTATTTTATCATTTCAAAATTGCTATTTATGATTTCCATACTCTTTGTCCATTATCGATAGTGCAGCAGAAGTTCACTCAACCGAAAATGTCCACTACTTGATATCTCGATTACTCAACTTAGCGGAACTCTTTCGCGACGGGGGTAGGAAACGTCTGTTGGTGGGGACAAATGTGCTAGTGAATTCAATGCAAGTTCGGTAATTGTTTATAAGGATAGATAAGTAAAAATCCTGGTGGAATACCTTGCTTAAAAATCACTGAACCAGCCTAATTAATTTTTGAGACGAGCTAATCCTAGAATGTTACATTTTTAACAATATTTTTAACTAAGCAGACTTTTTCATAAAATTTTCATTGAAAATCGTCACATTAAAAAGCTGATAAAATATTCTAAACTTTCCTTAGTTGACAATCTAAAATTTGAAGTCCAATTCTTGGCAATATATTGTACTTTCGGCATTAAATTTATCGAATCATTTGATTGTTACTACTGTAAACAATGCCATGTGCACCCAAAATCTAGAGCTTTCTCGACCCTCCCGCAAAAGAGCGGTAGTCAGTTAGATAACTGCGAGGCACTCGCGATATTACGTATTGACGACGGATTTTTACGTTATTTCCCGATTGAAACAATGAGCACACGGAGAGTGTGACCGGTTGGCAGGAGATGCTAACTCCTCAATGGCACCTGATCCCACCTCTAATGTTTTGGAGGTCCGTGTTTGCTCGGCTCCTATTCTGTATTGTTTTATGGACTTTGATATTGAATACTGTTCGTTATCTCCATATTCTTCATTAATCACAAAAAAGCCAAGCCTTGAAATCCACCATATTTCATGTTAACGACTACTTATTGTATTTCTTACAAATATACATCAACTATTGCATCCAAACTTTTAAATTACAAGAAAAGTTTACAGGGCCTATATATCGAACATCTGAAACATAATTCTCCATCATGTTCATGTTCTTCTTCGCCCTGTAACTATAGCACTGCTGGAAACGTTGTTCCTGGTGAGGCAAATATAATTAATAATGAGGACCTAAGATTACTTATTTTAAAGGTCCTAAATATAAGGAACCCCAATTCTTCAACTGGCGTCGTAATTTTACAAATATTATGGATTCTTGATTGAAGATTATGCCAGGCGATGGGCCAGGCAGTGAAAAGGCAGTCACTGGCACTTGGTCAGGATGGATTAAATGCGTCAGATGTATGTTAAAATCCCGCATCAAGCGATGAAGGACCAATAAAAAAAACATGTATCTTTTCTGAATTCAATAATACAGATTCTGAAGTTAAAAAAGAATTTGATTGATTACAGGAATATACAGGTCTCTGCTGACAAAGCTAGTTACAACATTGTCTTTGTAAGGCTCATTATACAGATATATTTTAGATGAACTTGAATGTAATTCTGCAAATGTAATCCAACATATACTCATAGTCCCCTTTCAGATCGAATATTTCAAACAACAAAAATGAATTTGAATTACCATATCTATATTGAATTCCGAAATTTCAAAAAAAAACTTACAAAGAAGAGATAACGAACAGTATTCAATATCAAAGTCCATAAAACAATACAAAATAGGAAGCAGAGCAAACAGACCCCCGAAACATCAGAGGTGTGATCAGGTGTCATTGAGGAGTGAATATCCCCTGCTGACCGGTCACACCCGCCGTGTGCTCCTTGTCATGATCGGAATATAACGGAAAATCCGTCCTCAATTCAGTGTATAAATAATGGACTAACAATTAGTATGAAAAACGTCAGTAAGCATTTGTCTCAATGATAGTACAGAGATACAAAGATACATAATGGATTCCAGTTAATGCTCTTTCTTTATTCCCTATTCATCTTCGCTAGCAAAGGGTTTCCGATCTGAAATCTACTCTACAACTAAGTAGAGTAGATTTCGGATCGGAAACCCTTGGCTAGCGAAGATGCTCCCCATTAAAATGTTAACAGTAGTGAAGAGTAAACTTCAAGAGTACTGTGCAACAGTATATTCAAGAGGTGGTGTAAATCAGATGTGGATACTTAAAAATTGAAAGGAACTTTTCGAACATTTGAAATGTTACCAAAATCAACAACATAAAAACGTCTTTTCAACTTATATACTATAAAATCACATTTTCGTAGGGTCAATTTTTCGTAATTCCAGAAAAAAGTATTTGTTCGTGGGGATTTGATTTCGTCGATGTAGATCTGTTCAGTAGTTCTGTATGGTAAAAATTGAAATTCGTTGAGTTCATGACTTCAAGGGTCTCTTCTTACCTCGAAAACACCGAAAATCATCCTCAGCCCCACGAAAGTAAGTGATTTTACTGTATCCCCCACGATAAATTAAAGTCCAGGCTTTTTGATATCTTTGACAACTGTTTACTTTACTGACCTGATCATTGGTCATTTGCAAAATTATTTTGTTATATAAAAAAAATATTCTGTTGTGCACACAAGTACTCTGAAGTTGATATTAAAAATATGTTGGAGTTTCTGGTTGACAATATCTATGTGGTTTTTGGACACAGGGTCTTCCAACAATCCATTGGGATTCTCATTGGTATCAACTGCGCCCGTTATTAGCAGACCTATTTTTGTGTTCACATGATGCAGAATTTGTCCAAAATCTAATGCACAAAAAGAAAAAACACTCGTCGTTGCCTTCATCTCGACATTTTGGTATATTGACCACGTTTTATCAATTAACCATGGTTATCACCAATCTTATATTGTTATGTTATGTACCGGTGAGCTTGAAATATAAGATACCGCAAATTCTGACAATCTGTTTCCTATTTAAAAACATTACTTGAAAAAAAAAACGTTAATGGTAATCTAACAACCAAGCTTTATGACAAACTTGAGGACTTAACTTATCAATCGTCAACTTCCCTTAAAGGGACATGGACACAGTTTCAGTTAAAATTTCAAAATAATTTTTTTTCGTTTTTACAAATATGAAACCAGGATCTTTCTTATGATCATCAAAAAACGTCAGTTGTCAAGATACAAGACAGATTTAGAGCCCCAAACCTGTGTTATGTAAACAAGGCTAGTGTCATGATTTTGTTTACACAGGTTAATATTCAAATATATGTTCGTTCAAAGTAGATAATATCAAATAAAAGTTAATTTTAAATACGATTCGACAGTTACTATTGATTTTCTGAATTTCATTTGTTATAAATATTTTCTATATTAAAACAAACACAAGGCACGAGCCTTATTTACATTATGAAGACCTTTAAGTTCTGTATTTTGTTTGTTAATCAACAAATGATGTCCAAATTTTTGCTAATCAATAGATGATGTCTTAATTAAACTTTGTTTTAAAAATTCAGTTGTTCATGCCCCTTTAATAATGCAGCAAAATACCTTCATTACTTGTATTAGGGATATACATCTCTCCGTCGATTCGATACGCAAGAGCATGCTCTACGTATGAACAATTTTTTTAAAAAGAGGTGAGTTATTGATAAACAAATTGATGAAACAAGAATCTCAGCAATTTCGTTGAAGTCATTATTTCGTTAAATTCTATGGTCGATACAATGACCATTTAAGCAAATTCAATTTATCATTCAATCTAATGCTGAATTTTCATGACATATTTCATTATAATTGTTAGGCCATTATATAAATACATGTAGTGGATGTTTCGTTGAAAAAAATGAATGCTATAAATATTTGACTATATCATGGAATTCTTTCATTCAGGATGCTTGTTTGATCGTAACTGCAGAGACGACTGCTACCGAAACCAAACCTCTGACTGTCGCTGGTTTAGATGTTATTGTCATAATACTAAATAAAAAAGGAAATCGTTTTGCAAATCACATCATTTATAAATTGATGAAGTGTATGCAACAAACATACTCAAGTTAATGCCATAGTATAGAAACAGACCGCTCAATCAAAAGGAGTCTAAATCTTATGGTATTTTTTTTCTAAAATGATATGGAGATTACGTCAATCACAACAGGACCATTATTGAGATAATAGTGGAAAAGTGGCAACTGATGTGAGGCCATGTATTCTTAAAAAGTCTTTTATGTAATCAAACTCTGGGCCGATGTGACCGGTCAACAGGGGATGCTGACTTCTGCAAGGCACCTGATCCCACTTCTGTTCCATGGTTAATGCTTTCTTCACATATTTGCTTTGTTACATAGTGCCATTGTACACTTCCTATTATTCTTTTTGATGTAACATATATATCGGGTTACCTTGGCAGAACATGGACACTCCCATTAACCGATGAATGCTTTGTGACAAATTTTGTTACAATGTAAATTTGACTGGCAGTTTTGAAGTGTCTTTCAAATTCAACACATGGACTCTTTAAAAACTTCTTTTCCCGGTACAAATGAGCATAAGAAACCATACATGCTCATGATTAGCAAAGGTGCCTCTGCTAAAATTATGAATATCATAGCCCATGGTCAGAAGTTCTAGTATTAAAAGGCTCTGTTGATTGTATTGAAATCTTCTGTACTTGGAAAACACCTTTACGAAGTTGGTTAAGAAGAACTATACCATCAGTAGAAGATATGGGCTACTCGTGGAGGCAGGCGCAGCATGTGGCAATGAACAGAGAAATATGGCGATCGACAGCTTGTTGAAGCCTTATGTCCCATCGGGGAGGAAGGGGATAAGTGAGTAACTAAGTTAGATACATCTCATTAATTTTTTTAAAACATAAGTTCTAAACTATTTTCTTTGGTTGACAATTATAGGCTAAACATATACTATTTTACAATTCTATCTTTGGTAAATAATTCATCAACAAATCAATTATACTTCATGTTTCTCTAATTTATTTGCGTTTAATCATTATGACAGTAGCATTTCCACCACCGACAGTCCGAGGTTTGGTCGTCATCGTTGCAGACATCATCGCAGTCACGATCAAACAGGCAATCTGAATTTAATATATTAGTTACGTAAAGAGGAATTAAATCTCTTATCCCTCCCTGTGGAATACAGGAAATTTTACTTTTAATTCTCCGTGGATACTGCTTTAACCATAAGGGTCGGACCACATTATATTTTCAGAATTAAGAAAAGGCGTTCGTTTCAGTTTAATATGGAAAGTGCGTTTGGTTGTAAATCTGTAAATAACTCATCCGTTCCTATTTACATGTACACTGTCTGTGTAACAAGCTTCCACCTGACCACTGGGACAACCAACCTTTCCTTCACATTTGCCATCATTCTCACAACAGGAGGCTGTTAAATAACATAAATTTGATGTTTTGAAAGTGTGTGTATCTTGTAATTCAAACGATACATAAAAACACAATTATTAAATAAAATCTTATCCTATTTTTATTAAAAGTTTCAATTTTATTGAAATCTTTCTCAGACTTTTTGGGAAAAATCCCAACCTCGTTTTTCTAATCCAAAACTGAAAACAAGAACTTTCAAGTAACATATATTCCCCATTTTCAATACATTTTTTTTATTTGTAGGATTCGGGAATGACATTTATTGTTAAAATTATATTGATCATAATATATCAAATTAAACGGAGGCTAATACCGTAAATCTGGAAATTTTTCCTGTAGATAAATTTTTAGCAAATTTGCGAGTTCATAGCATTCGCAAAAATATTTTTCTTAAAAATAAATTACCAATAAGAAAATGTAAACAAAACAGTGGTCATTCGCAAAATTTTGAAACGTAAAAATTAATCAACAGCATTTTGACCCGAATTCGCAAAATAAAATCGTAAAAATTTCCAGATTTACGGTGTTGTTTGAGAGAAATTCTTGCTTATATCTGCTATTAGTAGTAATCCCAAATAAAATTTAACCCACCTGTTACAAACAGCCAAAAGATGACTACATGTTTCAGTAGTAATTGCATGTCTTTGGTGTACTGTGTGTGCAGAGTGCCTGAGGACGTCTATTTATACTGAAATTACCGGATATATTATGGACATATGTGGAAAATTGATGTGGAAAAACTATTTTACTCCTTCAATTACAGGATCCATGATGGTTTAAATCTTTGAATACACCATATATGACCGGGATAATAAAACACGTGTGGCCTTGTGATTCCTGATGTTGACATTATTTTTAAAAATAAACTATATGCACTGCAGCAATGACCATAAAACTTCTATCAGGTGAAACATATGGAGATAACGAACAGTATTCAAGATCAAAAGTCCATAAAACAATACAAAACAGAAACAGAGCAAACACGGGCCTCCAAAAAATCAGAGTTGGGATCAGGTGTCATGGAGGAGTGAGCATATCCTGCTGACCAGTCACTCCCGCCATGCGTTCCTTGTCATGATCGGGATATAACAGAAGGTAAAATCCGTTGTCAATTTGGTGTATAAATAATGGAACAACAAATTAGTATGAAAAACGTCAGTCAGCATTTGACTCAATGATAAATTGTATTTGCTGACAAGGTCATTGTATCGACCATAGAACTTATGAAATGATGATTAAACGAGACTGCTGATATTCTTGTTTCATCAACTTGTTTGTCAATAATTGACGTCGTTTTAGAAATTGTTCATACGTAGAGCATGCTCTTGCGTATCAAATCAACTGAGATATATAAACTCCGTATGTGGGTATATATATCAAATCGAGTATAATATACTAGTACATTTGTAAATAGTATTATGAAATATGAAAGACAACATGAAACACTTTCTTAAGATCGAACATCACTTATAAAAGGTCGATGGCGCGATAAAGAGGAGGCGACGATACGATGATATTGACGATGATGCAATAATGAGAGAATGCTTTGACGTTGGTGCGATTACATGATGAAGCGATAGTGAACATCGCACAATCGTCATCGCATCATCGTGTTATCATATCATCGTCATCTCGCTACCACACCTTCTCTTCATCGTCATCGTACTATCGGGCCATCGCACTATCGAAGAAAACTTCGATCCCACGATGACGCTATCTAGTCTACATAATACACACTTAAATACACAGTGGATAATTATTTTTGCAGTACAAGATAAATTTTCTAATAGCTTACTTCATGGGTAAAGTGTCAGGTAATAAATTGAGAATTTTATATAAATTTTATATAATCAATCATGAAAATTCATGAAATATTCATTTTTCTATATAAATTATTAAAGATGTGTTGTAACTTTTAAGATATCCGATCCTCAGCAAGGAAGGATAACTCCAAAAATTGCTATTTAATTTAAAAAGCATCGATATAAAGCTTGAAAATGAAATTTTTTCATGCAACAATTTTCATTTTATTCATCTTTATATGATTCAAGGTTTTTGGAAGTCTTTGAAAAGGTCTTATAAAATTTAACATTTGTACCCTATAAAAGGAAAAAAATAAATACAGTTTAAGGTAGTCCGATCCTCAGGTTTAGAAAATTAGCAGTTAAGTAATCAAAAATACTCATAAAAGTATCTCTGAATCAACAGAGTTATGTAAATTTATCCACAGTATTTCGTTAAAATTATAAAAAAAAAAATAAATAAATAAATAAATAAAAAAAAAGTTAATCGTATTATATAGGGAAAATTGTCAAATATCCAATATGTTTGCAGAAAAAGCGAAATGGAATACCAGCGATGCATTTTTATTGCAAATTAATAAACAAATATATTTTAGGTTAAAGAACGATAAATATCCAGGCATTCAGAGAAAATGTCATGATTTTTATAGGCATTTGGTACTTGTTGTCTTCTATTTTCGTCACCTTTTTCTATAATATATAGTGTAAAAGGCTTTTGCTTTAATTGCAAGACACCATAAAACACTTCTTATTTCATATCATGCTAATAAACACTGGTATCTACGACTGGATTCAAGACAATCTCAATTCTCTAAAACTGTATAATTTTTCCCCCTTTTATTAGGGTACAAATGTCAACTTTTATAAAACCTTTTCTAAGACTTCCAAAAACCTTGAATCTTGTAAAAATGAATAAATCGAAAATTGTTGCGTGAAAAAAAATTAATTTTCAAGCTTCATTTTGATGCATTTCAACTTAATTATTAATTTTTGGAGTTATCCTTCCTGGCTGAGGATCGGATATCCTTAAGAGAAATAAGATTTTCCTGAATACAGCCTTAGACACCAATGCTTATTAGCATGATATGAAATAAGAACTGATTTGTGGTGTCTTGCAATTATAGCAAAAGCCTTTTACACTATGTATTATAGAATACATAGTGTAAAAGGCTTTTGTAGAATACATGAAGGAAATAGAAGACATTTAATACCAAATAAGTATGAAAATCATGACAATTTCTCTGAATGCCTGGATACCTATTGTTTTGTTTTTACCTAAAACATATTTGTTGATCAATTTGCAATAAGAAAATGAATTGCTGACTTTTCCATTCTCTTTTACTGAAAAAAACATGGGAGATTTGACAAATTTCCTTATGTAATATGATTAACTTTAATCTTTAACTTTTTGAGAAATACTGTGGATAAATTCACATAACTTTGTGGATTCAGATATTTTTATGAGTATGTTTGATTACTTAACTGCTGATTTTATAAACCTGAGGATCGGACTACCTTAATCTATATTTTTCTTTTAGTTGATGGAGTCTCTTTTATTTCGAAATCAAACATTTTTTTTTAGAAACTGTATTGAGGTTTTAGTTTTGTCACAGAAATAACATGGTAAATCGTTATGTATTGACTCTATAATAACCCAGAGTAATGTATTTTCTCTGTTAATCTGGAATCGATTGAAACTGATCTACAGAAAGTTTGTAATATTACACGGGTCCATAGATTTTTCATTAGTTATCGATGGTTTGTTCAGCAAAAAATAAGGTTCAATGGCCAAGATCACTTGACTTACTAGT